AGGATCCACATAAGAGTGAAACCATATGGTATCTGTCTTTCTCTGTATGGCTTATTTCACTTAGCATCACACTCTCCAGTTCCATCCACGTTGCTGCAAAGGGCCATATTTCATTCTTTCTCATTGCCACGTAGTACTCCATTGTGTATATAAACCACAATTTCTTTATCCATTCATCAGTTGATGGACATTTAGGCTCTTAAGGAATGACTTTTAAGTAGATTAACATGATTATGTGGCACCTGGGTGGCTCAGTTGGTTAAGCTTCTGAGTCTTGATTTCTGCTCAGGTCATGATCTCATGGTTGTAAGATCGGGCCCTCTGTTAGGCTCTGTGCTGAGAGTGTGGAGCCTGTGTGGGATTCTCTCTCCCTCTCTCTACCCCTTCCCTGCTTGTGCGTGTACCTCCTCTCTCTCTCTCTCTCTCTCTCTCTCTCTCTCTCTCTCTCTTTTAAATAAATAAATAAATAAATAAATAAATAAATAAATAAATAAATGAATAAAATGATTGTGATCTTATATTTTCCATCTCCACTGTACCTCAAATCTGGCCGCCATTTCCCACACTCCAAAAAAAAGTGGGTGAGGTCTTGTCGATGACACATGGCCACTATCACACTACTGGAAAAACAGCCCAAACTGCTTGTCTTGCTAATTGTGGGTCAATTGTGTCATTTGTGTGGGAAGAATGACTTAATTATCATTACTACCTACTGTCTAAATTAGCAAATCATACACAAATCGTTCACTTTCCTCCCTATTAGCCTCCTTCACCTTCCCACTCCCTACCCCCAGTCTTTCGAAAGTCCATAGCAGTTTTCTGTGGATTTTTTTTTAAAAGTGCCTCCTGGAAGGATGGCTCAACTGTGGTGAGATGTTTGTTGTCTCCTCCTGATTCTATGATCTCTTTTGGCACAGTAGCCGGTATTTGGTAAACAAAACTCTTATACTAGGATCTCAGGGGTTGAAACATGTCCTAGGTGTGCTCAGGAAAGTGATGGCGAGGAAGTGAAGCTTTAGAGATGGGCAGACCTTGGCCAGGATACTTAGGTCTCTGAGTTTCATTTTTCTCATCTCTACAACGGATATGATGTCTACCTACCAGCTGTTTGTGGGGGTAAATGAGATCATGTTTGGAAGACGTCTAGTACAGTGCTAGGAGCTCAGGCGAACGACGAAAGTTATGTTCCCTTTTTCCTATTTATTAAGTTACTTTGAGATCAGAGGAGGGAAAGTGGTGGGTAGGAAGCAGAACCATGAAAGAATGGAGGCCGCTTCTTGCCCAAAGGAGGATATTTATCTCTTGTACAAAGGTCTCCTATTCAAAGAAGCCGCTAGATTTAAAAAAAAAAAAAAAAAAAAAAAAAAAGTTGAGCAACAGCCACCTGGGTTTTTGGACTGCGTTTCGGATAAAGATGCTTGTAAAAAGGAGCTGGTGCGAATCCAGAAAAAGATTTGAAATGCCCCAGGCTTTGCCATGGCACAGTCCCCAGTTTTTTCCGCACTGCATTTAGAGGTTTAAAGACAGAGTGAGCTCAAATTTGGCCCAAAGCCTCGACTGTTCCCGTGGCGGCCGCGGGGTAGAGGTCAGACCAACAGGTGTGGGAGGCTTCGAGGTAGAGAGCAAGGAGCAGGTGTCAGAGGAGGGCCCGTCCCCCCGCCCCCCTTTCTCTGGCACAGGGGCTCCAAGGCTGCACGCAGTGTTCCCAGCAGCGGGCGGAGGAGCCCTGCCCGGTATCTGGGGCCCCGGGCCGGGAAAGAGACGCTGGTGGGCTTCCCGCCCTGGGCCAGCCCCGAGCGCAGCGGCGGATGCCTGGAAGTTGACGTGCATTCTGGGCCGCTGGGAAGCCCCTAGGCGCCCGAGGGCCGCTGCAGTCCGCCGGCCGGCCTCCGCCCTCGCCGCCCAGCCCCGGCCCGGCAGGGAGGAGGGGCCGCCTCGCCGCGGGTCTCCGTGGCGTGAGGACTAGGGCGGGGGCCCGAGACCCGCGCGGGAGACAGCGCAGCGCCCCTAGCCCTTCGGTTGGCCGGCCCGCCCCCTCGTCGGAGAGGCGGGAGGAGGCGGCTCTCCATTGGTCCGGCCCGTCGGCCAATCCCCGAAGGCCCGGGGCAGGAGGCGGGGGCAGTTCGTGGGGGACTCGGGAGCGGAGCGGGAGGCTCTGCGGGACCCAGTCGGACCGAGCCGCCGAGGCACCGCCCGCGCTCCGCCGCCGCGTCTGGGCGTCTCCTGCGCCGCCCAGGGGAGCGAGCTCCGAGCATCTCGCGCTGCGGCCACTCCTCGGGGCCAGGAGCGGGGAAGACGAGTACTAGAAACCCCCAGACCCGAGCGCAGCCTCTTCCCGCCTCCCGAACCACCATGACCCACTTCAACAAGGGCCCTTCCTACGGGCTCTCTGCCGAGGTCAAGAACAAGGTACGCCCGGGCTCTGGTGGGGCGGCCACGCCCAGGGCGAGGGGTGGGAGGCTAGATGCCGCCCGAGGGTCCCTGGGACTGCGGCGGCGCTGGGCCGCTCTTCTCTGCGCGCGGTGGCTGTCCGGCTACGCGGGGAGGAGACGTCGGGGCGGCGCGAGAGTGGCCGCGCGTCTCGGTCCTGGCCCCGGGCTCGAAGCGCCGGTCTCCCAGGCGCGCTCTCCTGGCTTTGTTCAGCGCCGCGAGCCAGGACTGGCGGCGGGCGGTGGGTTCCCGGGCTCCTGGAATCCCGCAGCGCCGGCCTGCAGCTACCGGAGCCGGTCCGTGGCTGCAGGACGCGCCCCTCCGGGAAGGGGGCGCTCCTGCCTGGTCATTCGCCCTTAGGTGGGGCCCATCGGCGCGGCTGGGGACCCGGCAAGCAGCCCCCGCCGTCCTCCCGGGCCTGGGCTGCTGCCGGACCGTGCGTCTTCCCTCACCCCAACCCCCCGGCCGAATTCAGCCACAAGCAGAGTCAGGCGGTTACGTGGCCAAACTGGGCCCCCCATTGTTCCTTGCCTCTTCCCGGGGAGGGGGGCCGTTGAGCGGTCCACCGACCCCAGGGACCCCCGGACGCTTCACAGTTTCCGAATTGCGGTGCCTTGAGGCAAATTAACTGCTGCTGCTGCGGAAAACGGAGACAAAGCCTGAGTGCGCCGCTTTGGAAGCGATATCTGCTGTAGAGTTGAGATTTTTGTAAAACCGAAGTTTGTAGTACATTAGACTTCAACGGTATCAAGGATATTTTCGTGGGTTGCTTTTGTTTTGGGTATGTTTGCCGAGGCGGGTTGTAGTGTGGAGTGATTTGCGTTTGGAAACTCTCAGCTTTGCCACTGCCTAGCATTAGGAATGCATTGGGCTTATCTTTGGGACTTTTGGTCTGGGAAAGAGATGAGAGGCGTCCCCCCTCCCCAAATCCTCTCCTTCCTTCCTCCCTCCCTCCCTGCATTCCAAGCCCATGACATCAGGGGTTTCTGGGGGGAGAGAGCAGCCAATCGGCGCGGAACTGCGCACAGAACGCTCATTGTCTCCTTTCTGCTGTTCTGGCCAAAGCGCCACAAAGGAGGGCTGCTGTGGTTTAATTCCCATTAACCTCCCGGGAGCCGAAGCATGTCAGGATTGCCACCGCACCGTCCGACCGCTGGTAGAATACGCTGGCATTGTCAAAGCTGCAACATCCCAGTGTTGAGGGTGCACGCGGTGTGGAGTGAATTATATAGAGGCAATGAAGCGCACCGTTGTCAAACCCCAAGGGAGAGTTATAGCTCTTCTCCCCCCCGTTACAGCCTGCGCATCCTGATTCAGTTAATAAATTCTGAACAGTCTTTGAGGCAAAGAGTTGATTTTAACCTACGAATCCAACATTGGAACGTTTGGGTTCTTTACTTTGTCTAGTGCGTTGCCCTTATTCGAAAATAGTTTCCTGAACATTGTTTTTAGAGGACAGAGAAATGGTTTGTGTCTGATTGTTCGGTTCTTTCCAGGGTTTACAAATGGAGCTTTAGGAATCCTTTCAGAGGAATCCGCAAGTCCAAACTGTTGGATGTGATACCCTGGCCTGGCGTGTACACATTAATTTTAATTCGCCCTTGTGATTCTTGGCTGGGGACGGCTGAACGGTTGAGTCTCTACCTTTTGCGTTGTAAATGAGGTCCTGATAACTTTGGCAGTCCTTCAAGTGACTTATTTTTCTTGGATGTTCATATCCGTATTAATTTCTTTTTGCTGACTAATGAAGCAGCTTCTGCCCTTTTCCTCCTTTTTATTGAGCAGACTGAAGGAATTGCACACACTGGCTAGATCACTGTAATTGTACATTTTTAAAAACAGTAAAACCTCAGTTTTCAGAGCCTTTGGAAAGTTATAGCTTCGAGTTTCTATAACTGCGGGTTTATTCCTTTAAGCACAAAAGGCATATTTTAACTACCCCATTCATTTATATGGGCCCTTCATACAGTACCCTTTCATAGGAAGTCTTTTGATCTTAACAGCACAGCAGCCCCTCGAGGTGGGAGGGATTGCTGGGGCTATCCAACATCATTTATAGGTCAGGATGCCAAAGCTCAGAAAGGGTGTGATTTGCTCAAGGTCACAGAAGAGAGTCGGAATATTCTAAGAATGTAAACTCTCAAAGTGATATCTTAGTGAAGTAGTTAGGGATATTCTACTACCAGTCACTGTTGTCTGCCCACCCCCCCCCCCACCCCCCACTTTTGCTGTCCACCTGTCACTTCTTGACATTGTAATTACTCATCCAATGCTGTTTTCATCTGCTCTGGGCTTGGAAATCAAATATCCATGTTTGGTAAGGCTTTTGTATGAGATACTGCATTTCAGCTGTGGACACAGTGCCAACAGAGGGGTGGGTATATGGAACATGAACTTTGACACTGCTTGGTTTGGACACTTTTTGATTTCTTCCTCTGTTTTCTTTATGTATTGCATAACTGATATGTTGCTTAAATGTAAGGTGTGTTTTTCCCGCCTCTTAAAGCTTTAACAAAGTGGAAAAAATACAAACGTCCTCAGGAAGCAGTGTGGAACAGACCTTGGATTCAAGCAGACATGGGTTCTAGTTCTCCCTCTGTCACTCTGCCTTGTATGATGTTGGGCAAGTTCATGGATATATCTCTGTCCCAGTTTCCTAATCAGTAAAATGGGGGAAATAATAGTTACCAACCCTAAACACTACGGTGAGATGTGTCTGCTTGTAGTACGTACTCGGTGACTATGTTGTAGCTATTAGTTCTTAGTAATTGAAAATTAGTATCGATATTCTATTTCTTAGACTTGTCACTGACTCTGTAAGTATTCCATTTCTATTAAATAAGCCTTTGGTCTTTTTATACTCCAGCTGTGAAAGCAGTTCGTCAATGAATTGAGGAAATCTTTGATCTTAAATACTTTTAATTAGTAAAAGTGCAGGGGAAAAATCTGTAAACTTAAGATATTTATTTGACAAGATGATAGATAATACATGGCAAAACATATCAGACTTACTTTTTTTTTTTTAATGGCAAAAGTTTGAAAACAGCCTAAAAAAGCAGAATCTTCCAGCATGGACCGTGAACTGCATTTTTAAACAACAAAAGGGTCAATAACTTGCAATCCGCAAAGATCTTAATAGAATAGTAGGGTCAGGGATAATACAGATAACACAGAAGCTGGTGTAGATAATTCTGTGGGATATGGAAACACTCATAAAGTAGTAAGGTCCTGAAAAGAAAGAAACAGAAAGAAAGAAATAGGAAGAAAGAACGGAGTAAGGTTGAGCCAGACCCCCCACTGCATTTTGGGGACCAAAATGAAAAGGAAAACAGTTTTGTGCCTTTTAAGCTGTGAGAAAACATGACGGGTCCTTAAGGAAAGCACAGCATTTCCTGACGCTTGGCTCTGAACAAGATGTTGGAGCCAGTAGACCTCCTTGTAAAGTTGAGGATGCAGGGAAGCATACCCTCCCTGGGCTCACAGCAAATGCTGTGGGGAGCTTATAGGTCCCAGGGAAGGTGGAGGAAATCAGTTGTGGAGGGAGTGGGTGGAGCTGAAATTACCTCCGTATCTTTGAGGGGGGTCGTCTCTCTGAAATATTAAGAAGAATGGGAACTGGAATGAGCGTTCTCACAGTTTTCTCACCTGGAATGTATGGTTTGAGCAACATAGCTTCTTGCGGAATCTTCTTGGTTGCAACAATGGTAGCCCTCAACGGTTAAAAATCATGTTGGAAGACTTACTACTAAAATTGTAAATCACTGAAGAGTAAGTTAAACAATCATATAGTAACAAATAGGACCAAATGTCCCGCGAGGCCTGCCAGCCAGCCTGCCTTTGGACAAGCAGTTGCTCTAAGAGTGTTCCTGATCACATTAACCCCAGGTGATTGTGGACTCCAGCCGCAGATTGCACCCTAAGGTGGTCTGCCTGGTAGAGCACCGGAATCATGGTAAAAATGTAGCTGGGTCTAGCTTTAGTTTGTTGTTGTTCCACAACCAACGTAGGGCTTGAACTCACAACCCTGAGATCAAGAGTCGCATGCTCTATTGACTGAGCCAGCCAGGCGTCCCCAGACATAGGCTTTTAATTCAAAGCTTTTCTTTACGGTCTCTTTCCACCAGCCATAGGGGTTCCAGTCTTATTCATTGATGAGCTACGTCAAGATCTGTATTTCAGAATACAACTTGGGATATAGTTGATGCTTAATAAGTATTTGTTGATTTAATGAATTTATCCATCAGGAGTAGATTTTACCATCTTTAAAAATTGGAAGTTAACCCTATTATTCTTCGCAATAGAATTCTGTAGTGCAATGTGATAATTTGGAAGGACAAGGTGATTTTCACAGATTGCTTTTCTTCAGTTTGTTTTATTAATGTTACACTGGAAAACTTATTAGCAAGATAATTCTTGTGCTTTTGCTGAGGCTCTTTCTTAGACTCCCAGATTAGGGAGGAACAGTAGAAGGCCCCTCTGTAAGGCTCTGTGGGATACCTGCATCTCCCAAAGACCACCTGCAAAGTGGTCACTCAGCGGATCTGGCCTCCTGGGTGGGAGATGCCATTGTGGTTTACCTGCCCTCTTTTTTTCTCCCCCTCTCTTGACCAAAACAGTTCAAGAAAATACATTTGCTAAATTGAGAAGGGGTACCATGCTTTCTTCTCTAAAATGCTGAGACATATTTACTCTGGAATTTTAATGAAGATCATTATCAAGTTCACTGTGCTGTGACCCACAGCTTTTTACACTCTTTCCTTTGTGGAAATTGTACTATTTGTCTCTATCTACTCCTTTAGATTTCAGAAATAAGCCTGATGGGGTGCCTGGCTGGCTCAGTTGGTGGTAGAACATGTGACTCCTGACTGATCTCAGGGTTGTGAGTTGGAGCCCCATGTTGGGTGTAGAGTTTACGTTAAAAAAAAAAAAAAAAGCTTGATGAGGAAGATGTCACAAGTACTGTCATCAACCAGAGGTGC